ACACACACACAGACACACACACACACACACACACACACACACACACACACACACACACACACACACACCAATTATATGTGATTAATATACGTTTAGACTTCATGAAGTCAGATTACACATTAAATGTCCCATAGAACAGAAACATCACAAATGAGATCTCTAATAATGTCATTGATTTTCTTAGATGGCAATGAGAATAAATATATTGCAAATGTCTCCTGTGTCTCAGATGTTTCTCCTGAGAAAAAAAAGCCAAGTACATGGTTAATTTAGTTCACTACAACTTAAACCATAAAAAAATGTTACTTGAAAAAAAATAAACGTTAACTGAAATAAAATCTAAATAAAATAAAATAAACACTTTTTTTCAGTTAGTTGCCAAATCAACATTTCTCATTTTCTTTTAACTTGATGTACTAAAATAATTAAAATGGAATGAAAAATTAATTACAACTAATAAAAATTACAAAAACACTTAACAAAATGACAAACAATTGAACTAAAATTAAAATGAAAGGGGAAAATACAAAAATTAAATAAAATTCCAAATATTAAAATTTATAAAATATAATATTATATATATAAAACTCCTCTAGATTTTCAGAGATCCTAAATGTCTCAAACTGTGCTCAAATTTCTCATCAAATGATCTGAGCTGCTTTCCACATTCATTGTACAGCTCTAAACTTATACATGACAACTAGTGACCCATTTGTGTGTTTTTATTTCCCCAAAGGAATTTTAGGACAAACATCCGAGACAAAACCGATGCGTGAATGAAATCTACTGTAAATGAGCTGCGAAAGAGCAAAATCTGAGAAATACAAGTACAGAAATAATAACACAAGTCACAAGCCATTGTTCAAACACACACATAAATCACTGGTGATTTGTTAAACACATATTTTACACATCTGATTTAGTTGTAAAACATAGCTGCTTTACAGAATGGAAACGTCTGAGTTTGAGTTTGTTTCTATGATGGAGATGTACGCCAGCAGGGACCCACAGCCTTTCTGCTCTTATTTTCCTCTGTTTTTCTTTCCGTCTTTATCAGACGCTGCTACGCTGAGAAACAGGAACCGCTGGCTTTAACATGCACCTGTGTTATCAGAGCATTTCTCAGTGAGATCTCACTGTTCCCACAACAGAGACGCAGTTTCCATGACTGCTCAAACCAACACACCGCTTTAATAACATCAACAGCCGTTAATAACATCACCCCATTCATCAAAAGTCATAAGTGCACTTCATTTTCCAGCAGTAAATATAACTTACACAAAGATGCATTAATAACAGTCATAAACGCTTCCATATGTGACCCTCTCAACTATAGCTTCACTTCACTTGCTTCATATTCAAGGAAATAAAGTCACGATAAATCCACTCAGGGATAATAATTGGCTAGCATTAAAGATGATGATGATGAACACACTGTATTAGATTGTGAGTTTCCAGATCAGTCACTTATAAGGTTTCATGACAGTTCAGATGTTGCCTTAGAAGGCAGCTGACTATGTAGGCAGCAGACAGCAAACTAGGTACTTTTGGCAACATATTTTAGCATTTTAATATGATTATTTTAATTCTTTTGAATATTAAAATATAATAGTATTTATTTAAACAAAAATAATATTTTTGGCAACACATTTTACTATTTTAATATGATTATTTTAATAACTGGGTGTTAAAATAAAATAAAAGTATTTATTTAAATAAAAATATTTTTGGCGACATATTTTACTATTTAAATACAACTGTTTTAATACTTTTTTTAATATTAAAATAAAATAATAGTATTTATTTAAAAGAAAGATATTGCCAAAAAATAAAAAAAAATATTGCCAACACATTTGACTATTTTTATGTCATTATTTTAATATCTTTGAGTATAAAAATAAATTTATACTATTTATTTAAATAAAAGAAAAATAATTTTTGGCAACATATTTTACTATTTTAACACAATTATTTTAATAGTTTTGATTATTAAAATAACAGTATTTATTTAAACAAAAGAAAAATCATTTTTGGCAACATTTTGACCATTTTAATATGAATAATAGGATTGATTTCAACAACAATAATCATATTTTTGGCAACATATTTTACCATTTTTATTTTATTATTTTAATACCTTTGAGTATTAAAAGAATGTAATAGTATTTATTTAAGTAAAAATATTATTTTTTGGCAACATATTTTGCTTTAAATTTTTTTTTAATCCAATATAACACCATACCAGCATAAGATTTCTGAAGGATCATGTGACCCTGAAGACTGGAGTAATGACGCTGAAAATTCATGTTTGATCACAGCAATAAATTACAGTTTACAATACATTAAAATAGAATACACTTATTTTGAATTGTAATAATTTTTCACAATTTTACTGCATTTTTGATCAAATAAATGCAGCTTTGGTAAGCAGATGGAACTTCTTTTAGAAACATCAAAAAATCTTACAGACCGTTTGACGTTTGAACGCTAGTGTATATTTTGCTGTTGAATGTGCCGCTAACAGTCTGTCAACATTCACCAATCATGGCTGAGAGTATTTGCATATCCTAGTGCTCTGATTCACTATTATTCACTATTATCAGTGAGGTGTATCACTGGATCACATCATCACCCATCTGCAGCATTACAGCAGTATTTACCTGTTCACAGGAAGCCTGCGGTTTAAACATCATAAATCATCTGAGTTATGAATGAAGCCGCAGCGCTTTAATGAGTCTGTGAAACACCGAACTGCACAGATGCCAAAACTTCACGTTCACCATCAGCCACTAGAGGATGCTGTGAGCTCGAGAGCATTAAAACCCCTCAGGCTTCAACAGGTGAGTGTGAACAGTAAACGCTTCGACACACACCTCACACACACATCCTGACAGCAAACACACTCGTGCTTTATCACAGGAAAGACACAGACGCTAGACACAGCTGCTATATATATGTGATAAATAGGGATGGGAATCATAAGGAGACTCCACTTTACAATTCTGGTTCCTTAACAATTATTTCAATAATTTTGATCATTAAAACAAAAAAATAGCATTTATTTAAAAAAGAAAAAAAAAGTATTTTTGACAACATATTTTACTATTGTAGTCAGATTTTTTAAATACCTGAATATAAAATAAAACAATGCAATTTATTTAAACAAAAATAATAGCATATTTGGCAACATACTATATTTTAATATGATTATTTTAATACTTTTGAGTATTAAAAGAAAATAGTATTCAATAAATAGTTTTTTAATAGTATTTTTGGCAACACATTTTACTATTTTAATATCATTATTTTAATATTTGTCAGTATTAAAAGAAAACAACAATACTTATTTAAACAAAAATAATATTATTTTTGGCAACATAGTTGAATAAAATTATTTTAATTCTTTTTATCATTAAAAGAAAATTACACTATTTAAACAAAAATAATGGTATTTTTGGCAACGTACTTTACTATTTTATTATGATTATTTTAATACCTTTGAGCACTCAAATAAAATAACAGTATTTATTTAAACAAAAATAATAACATTTTTAGCAAAACACTGTATTTTAATATGATTGTTTCAATACTTTTGAGTTTTAAAATAAAATAATATTTATTTAAACAAAAATAACAGTATTTTTGGCAACATACTGTTCTATTTTAATGACATTAGTTTGATACTTTTGAGTTTTAATAAAGATAGTAGCATCACAATTGTTAGAATGAGACTTACAGTCGCTCCTGCTGCTCCTCTCTTCCCTGGAGCTCCAGCTTTACCCTACAAACAAACACAAACACAAACACAAACACACGTCAAAGAGTTCAACTGAAGCTCACTCACCTCCTCTGAACCACAATGAGCTCAAACCTGTCTGTGGTTTAAATCTACATGATGTGTGGTTTGAGATGAAGCTCTATAGATCCACAGTGCAGTGAATCAGACCAGATTTTTGGATCCAACCTCAGGTGTTTTAACAACTAATGAATGATGGAGCTCATGAGAATATATATATATATATATATATATATGTTAGTATTAGTAATTTTAGTTCAACTTATTTAAGTTTTTAATAATTTTGCTATATGCTTTGTCATTTTTATTGTATTTTTTTAAAAACATTTCTATTTAATGTCTTTTTTTATTTAGTTTTAGTAATTGTAGTATTTCAAATTAGTTACTTATTTGATTTCAGTTAGATGCCAAGGCAACATTTCTCTTTATTTAAAAGTTTTTCCATCACATATTTAGATTTTCTTTCAGCTTAATTTCAGTTACCAAAAAAGATTTTTATTAGCTTTATTTTTGGTTAATAATAACAACAGTATGTCCTCATGTGTCTATGTGTTTCACTGTCCAATCTGCAGAAACACACGTTTATCTAGCTCATCTAACTGAGGACATATCAAATGCGACGATTGTTTTTATATAAAGATGACTTCTGATTTGTACAAACCCTAGAAATGCGCATTATTTTAAGTGTGAATAGTTTTTCCATATGAAGATGTCCCAAGTGAAGATTTTGTCAAACTTCTGGGGACAATTTTAACTAAATGTTAAAATTAGATTTTCAAGTGTTCAGAGTTGCTTACGATGAATCCCGGAGGTCCATTGTTCCCTGGCGATCCCTTTTCACCCTGCAAAACAACAGCAGTTGAGCTGTCAAGCATGTGTGATGTGTGTCTGCAGTAGCTCTGTAATGCAAATCGCAATGCAATTGTTTTGGGTGTTTTAGTGGTGTGAAAGGCACCATGAAAGTGCAGTTTTCTATCATGTGTGATCTGTTTCCTCTTGAAACAGGAAGTTGGTGTACGACACAGGGATATTAATGATCACAATGTTTTCCCAGAACAACAGAGTTTAACTTTTACATGCCTATATGATTGTCTATGTTTGTATATGTTTTTGGTCTGTAGCGATGCTGGTACCTTTATGCCCTCAGGGCCCGGCTCTCCTGGAGGACCGTCAGGTCCCCTCGGGCCCTAAAAGACAAAAACACAACAGGTGAACGGGGGAAAAAATGAACTAATAGATATCACCATACTTACCAGTTGATTGATTACATTAAGAATTGGAGGAAAATATTGTGTATTAGAAGTTTTCTAAAGTGTTATGTTTAAATGTGCAAATGATGCATGATCAAATTGAATATGCACTAACTTTCATAAAATTCCAGAAGATAAATCTGATTCAAAATTCTTGTTTGATTTTGTTGACATATTAGAGTTAAAAGATTTTATAGAGGGGATTTTGGATATCACTTTTTATCACTTCATAAATCAGAAAATACAGTCAACAGCCAGAAAAAATACATTTTCACCATGTTTTTTGGAATAAACTGTTGTATAAAACCATGTGAGTGATATATGAACAAACCCCTCAGTAAAAACCTTCAGAATATAGAGAGGAATAAAACTGCTAAGTTTGGTGTTTGTAAGTGCTGCTGAAGTGGAGAAAAAACTTTTAAAGATATGGATTGTAATTGAAATTTACAAATGCAAATGGTTAACGTGCAATAAAATAAACCTGAAAGTGTATTTTGGATGTTTTCGTTCCACTAGTCTGAAACAACATGTTATGAAAAGCCAAATAGCTCAAAATCTATTAGATTTATTACATCAAGTTCATCCTCATAAACAGTCCAGCTGGGTGAGACGCCACATGCCAGACCAAACACACCGAGAATCAAGGACAAGCCAAACTAAACCAAAACAGAGAGGATCTGTTACACAAACTAGTGTGCTGCCTCGCTGTCTGTTGTCTTCTGTCTACATAGGCACACTAATCGAGATGCAACCTCATCAGTGACCACTGTGGAACACACTATATAGACCACTGAAGCTCACAAGAGATGCAACTCACTATGGATTGTAATAGTTTGGTGTTAGGATGTTACTAATATGTGATATGTATTAGCATTAGTTAGCATTGTAATTGTGAACTAAAACTATTAAAAATAATTTTCATTAATTGACAAAGTAAAATATATTGACAAAATAAAATATAAAATATGAATTATAAAATAAAATATAAAATATATTAGAAAATGTATTAAGTGTATTATATTAAACATATCATCAAAATGTACAGTAACGTAAACTTAGAGAATGTTGCATTGGCAACTAATTTTTGAAAATATAAATGATAAAATATAATATAAAATATATTAGAGAACTTTAGAAAGCATATTATTAAACTTGTAACATCAAAACTTACAGTAACTTTTAACTTAAAACTTTTACAAAAATATTGTATTGGCAACTAACTGAAATAAGTTGAAGAAACAATATTACTAAAATTATAAAATAAAGCTAAATAGAAATATTTAAAGAAAACTAATAAAAATTATAAAAGCGCAAAGGAACATTACTAAAACTTTAACTAAAATGACTGAAAACTATCTTAAGTTGAAGAACTAAAATGACTAAAATTAAAATAAAAATAATTTAAAGCTAAAATATCATAGAAAAACTAATACAAATGGCAGAAGCGCATAACTAAAACTACTAAAACAAAAATGAAAATAAATTAAAGCTAGATAGAAATATTTATAAAAAATAATAAAAATGATAAAAAGCACATAACAAATTACTAAAACTTAAACTAAAATTACTAAAATTAAAACAAAATGAAAATAAATGAAAGCTAATTATGAACATTAATAACAAAAACTAATAAACATGATGGAAGCACATAACAAAACTACAAAAGATTAATCTAAAATTAAAATGAAAACTAAAAATATACAAATAAGAGCCAATTCAAAATATTAATAAATCCTACAATAGTATATAAATAGTAGTAAGAAACACAAATATTACATATCATTAAACAATTCAATTTAATCAATTTATTTTCAGTACTGAATTAATTAAAGGGAAAAAAATGTCTCTCATTTTGTCCATAATCTTGGACTGAGCTTGTTGCAGTGCATTTTCAGATTGCCATGCAATGCTGCTTTAGAATGTAACCAAAATAAGGGATCTTAAAAGGCACTATAATGTATTGAACAGCCGCTGCATTTGCATTTCCTAGGTTTTGGAGCAGAAGCACAGAGCCAAAGAGTCTCGTCTGTTGACTTTGGGCTCATGAACGGAGACTCTCAGGATGTGTAAGCGATCTATCTGTCATGTTTTTCACAAGGGGGTTTTAAGTCGCCCATTCTTACCATCATTAAAATTAGATCTGCACTGTTTTATATAAACAGAACGGAGGGGAACGTTCTCTTAATTGCAGAGTTTGGCGTGAACCTCAAACCTCTTTTCATCAGCTTCTGTGGCCTCTGACTGACTTCAATCTGTGTCATTAGGACTCACGTCAAACATGCTCTTTCTCTTCCCATTTATTATGTTAGTTAAGGTTCCTGCAAGTAATGGAGTTTACCTTAAACATTTACCCTCACATTGACCTGTTATTAATTAAACTGGCTGTTTTTTTTGGCTGTACTTTTAAGACAGTTACCCTCTTTGTTACATACATTAGACATTTTAAACGTTCAAAAAAATTACTGTTTTTCTGCCCGTTTTAATCAGAAGAAAAAGTAATTCAGAATATAAATAATATAAATAAAAATATAAAAATGAATATAAACATAAATATTAATGCAATTTCCCAACGAAGACTAGAAGCTAAAAAAAAAGTCTAAATAATCCAGAAATCATTGCACATATTAAACGGGAAATAAAATAAAATATTTTAAAAAATTCTAATTTTCATTTAGTTTAAGTACCAGCTTTCTGGTGCTTACGTCACCTCACTCGTGACGTCTCGCTGCTCCATTGGACTGATTTGACACGTGCTTCAGAACGCGGTCATGCAAGGACGTTCCCAAATCGAATCTCGACGCAGCTCGAGTTCCTGAAGGGGAACTAAATTAACTAAAACTAAACACTAAAACTTAACAAAAACTAAATACACTGAAAAAACATTTGTAGTAACCCCAAGTAACACATTGAATTAAACATGAAACATTAAATTATTTTTTTACAGACATATATATATAAAAAAAGCTAAAAACACAATAAAAAAAATGACTAAAATTAAAATGCAGAAATGCAGAGTATAGTAGTGCAAAAATGATAATAAAATTAATTATAAATATATTTATATTTTTAAATGGATTCAGATGAATTGGCCACTCAATTAAGTGTGTAATAATGACTATTAGTGGTGATTGGTGATTGGTGATGGTCAGGCGTATACATACGTCATATTCTGTTTGACCACTAGAGGTCCCTGTGGTTTATCTATAAACATGATTCACTCGGTCAGCAAAACACTAAAAACAGAGAGAGAGCTCAATGCATTACACTTAAGCATTTTTAGGATCATTAATGCATTGTGACATTATATTCAATAATAAATTGTCATAAAAATACAGCCATAAAGCAACAAAATATTAATGGTCTTAAAAAAAATATTTAATTTTCTCGATATTATAAAAAAATTAATTATATAAAATTATGATTTCTTCTGTGTCTTATAAATCTGAGTTGAAATACCTGGTTATTTCTTGGTAACAATCACCCAAATCTGCTGTCAATCAAAGGTTTCCACCAATCAAATCTCTCTACTCCAGTTCAGATTTAGTTCTAGCTGCATCGACATCATTAGCTACACAAGAAAAGCATGCATTTCTTTCACTTTTCATCGTACCCTTCGCCCTTTCGGCCCGGGAAGGCCTGCTGCTCCTCTCAGCCCTTGTGGACCCTTGAGAATAAGAGACGGACAGAAAGAGACAAAGTAAAATTTCAACTTTCAAGTGGAAAGATACTCTGAACCTCAATCTTTCACCCCAAAATTTGCATCTAAAAACCGCAGAGGATCATGGGTAAACTTACTGGTGGACCTAGTGGGCCGAAATCCCCAGGACCTCCTGGAAGACCCAGATACCCCTTAAACAGACAAAGAGGCACACGGTTAACTCAATAAACCTACTAACCAGTGACCACTAACTAACTAGTGAACAGATTCGGATTGGACTAACTCAGTTTTCTAAATGATTTATACAGAAATCTGTTCTACTCTTGTTGACAAATGATTTACGCACGTTTTTAAAGGTGGCTTATCATGAAAATCTGATTTTCCAGGTTTTAAGAGCTATAATCAGGTCCCTGGTGCATCTACCAACCAAGGAAACATGTAAAAGATTAACCCAGTAACTTTGGTAAGCCTTTTTCTGCAAGCATCTGAGAAAACGAGCGCGTCTGATTTCGCTCCCTTGGTGACGTGGCAAAGGGATCTCATTATAATATTACCGCACCTTAATCTGTAAGTTTCCACCCACGGCACCTGTGTTTTCACAAG